GAATTTGTGTCGACAATGATACAACCAGTCATCGTTTAAAGTTGCAATCTTAAATTTAAAGTTGCAATCTTAAATTTAAAGCTGCAATCTTAACTTTAAAGTTGCAATCCTAAATTTAAAGTTGCAATCTTAAATTTAAAGTTGTAACCTTAAATTTAAAGTTGCAATCTTAAATTTAAAGTTGCAATCTTAAGTTTAAAGTTGCCCGCTTGCAATCCTGGCAGTCACCTGATTTCCGATCTCTTCGTTGAGCGACGGTGACTGTAGTTGTGAGCAGAAATGCATCGCAAGCTTGTGCAGCGTCTTGTGCGTTCTCACGGACAGGTACTCCTCCGCTCCACCATCCTCCCCTCCCTTGCCTTCCTCTCCACTCTCCCCCACTTTGCCTTCCTCTGCAGTCTTTCCCACCTTGCCTCCCTCTCCACTCTCTCCCACCTTGCCTCCCTCTCCATTCTCTCCCACCTTGCCTCCCTCTCCATTCTCTCCCACCTTGCCTCCCTCTCCTATCCTCCCCGTCTTGACCCCCGCCTGCTGTTGCGTGGATACCCGTCACCACTCGTCGGGCTCCCACGCGGAAAACAGCAAGCCGAAGAGCTGCGCCGCCGCCAGCCGCACCCACGTGTGCAGGTGCAGCAGGTGTTCCTCTGCGCCGCCAGATGGCGCCGAGGTGCGCCGCGTGGCGGGGGTCGCGCACGGCCGCCTGGCAGCCGCGCAGAATCTTTCGCGAGCGCCGTCAGTATGTTGAAAGAGATGATCGTAGCGCGCGTCGCTCCGCCTCCTCCTCCATGCTGCGCAGCACGGCGTGCGTCGTGTAGGTGAGCACGTGTCGCTGGTAGCCGCGGCGCAGCGTCGCGCGCATCTCGCGCAGCAGGTAGTGCAGGTAGGCGGGTCCGAGCGCGGCGACGATGCGCACGATCGTGTCGCGCGTGGCATCCCGCACGTCGCGGGCGCGAGATCGCAGCAGCTCACACAGCTTCAGCAGCACGCTGCAACGACGACGACGACGAACGATGATGATGAACAATGCACTGCAACGCACCTATACTATTACTACGAGTATTCCTTGTCTATATACTTTATGTGTGTATGTGTGTATACATACTATAGATAAGGACCACTCATAGTAATAGTATAGGTATTATCAAGAGCTAATAAACACCTAGAGTGTACAACGGAAAAACGGGAAAATACTGCTATTTCACGGCAATATTATTCTACTTTGCCTGCGAGTCTAGAATAATTTTATGGTATTGCATTAAGCAGAATTCTCTGCTCTCTAAAACAAGACAAACCGCTTGTCAATACGATACTCCTAGGCTGAGATATTGGCTCGTAAACTTCCCCTCCCACAGGCCTCACGACGCCTCGCATCCACAATATTCCCTAACCTTCTCGCCTTTTGCAGGTTAGGAAAGTCGCTTCGTGAGAGTTCGGTTTTTTCCCGCGATAACTTTATGAATGAACGGCGTTTCGGTTATCATCGGTGACTTTCGGGGGCATCACCTATGCCCTTATCTCCCATTATCTTTCCTAGCCCGGCTAATGCCCGTCATGATGGAGCCGGCAATGTTTTCTAAATTAAGTCTCTACAACGTAGCTCAGTTACTATATGGTGTGGTAAGAGTACCAAATTTGGGCATGTGACATCAATTATCAGCGCTCCAAGCGGCGACGGAAAACGATAGCCAGACCAGCATAAGGCTAGGCTTTCTGCTTAACGCAATACCATAAAATTATTCTAGACTCGCAGGCAAAGTAGAATAATATTGCCGTGAAATAGCACTATTTTCCCGTTTTTCTGTTGTACATTCTAGGTATTTATTAGCTCTTGGTATTATATATATATAAATATATAAAAATATATATATATATATATATATATATAAATATATAAAAATAAATATCACAGATCTTAATGAAGACTAAGAAAATTAATATTAGGTAGAAATATAGAAATATTTGGCTATTTCTTTTTGCAAGGATCCATTCTATAATTCCATAATTCCATGTTGTAGCCTAATGAATTTGCAAAGAACAGGAGTTTTGTTTTTAAATTTTTTGATGATGTTTTTAATGATTTTGACTAATGCCACGACTATTACTGTTGCAATGTCGGCCGTTCGGTATGCAGTAGCATGCATCAGACTCCATTTGCTCCCTGATCATTTTTGAACCCACCCCTCCTCCGTGACTGTATTGCAAGTGAGTATAATAAAGCTGGGTTTACACTACCGACTTTATGCTCTCAAATTGGTGAATTGGACCAATTTCGCAATTATAAAACTGGCAATCGGCAGTGTAAATAAACGTAAAAGTTGCACGAGCAACTGGTTAATAGCAACTATAGTTAGGTGATTAGAACATGTTCTATTTTCGCCAACTCTCTGTTGCCGAATTGCGCAAATTGGTCCAACTCGCCAATTTGACAGCATAAAGTCTGTCGTGTAAACCCAGCTGAATGTGATCGTACTTGGGTAGATTGCTGTGCAGTGAATGCTTTGGGAGTTTCTGCAGCAGCTTGACCATTGCTAGAGCTATCGGCACTCTCAGAACCTCTTGGTCCTCCGTGTAGACCTTCTTAGCCAGCTTGTGTTCACCGTCTGATTTCACCTGCAGTGCAAAGAAGTAAGTGTAATCTGTGAAACACCACATAATACCTAATAATTCAGAATGAAAACGAAACTACCACTGGTAAATTCGGCTGTATACAATATCCATTCTATTTCATTTCTATTCTACACAATACTAATTTTTACTATATATATATTAAATATATCAAATATTCAATTTATATATTCAATATTACATTCTATTTCAATTCTATTTCTATTTCATCTGTGAAGTAATAAACAGTTGTTTTTCTGATATTTCATATCCGGATCCTTCCCTCTGTCATCGTGCATACCTTCTGGGTGAGCGCGCGGTGAAGCGGTGGTAGTATCACTCTCGACATGACCTTGTGAATGCGCGCCGCTAGATTAGCCTGGCTGCTGCTGCTGCTGCTCTCCGCCAACACCTCCTCCTGAACATCCCCGACTACATCCTCATTGCTGTCACCACCACCTTCCCCCGCCGACCCTCCGCCCTTCTCCGTTTCCATAGCAACGTCTGTCTCTGTCTCCACGGCAACATCTGCCGTGTCCGTCTGCTGGAAGTCTGTGTCGTCTTCTGCCTCGCCGATATCGTCATCTGTTAGCGTCCTGCCAGTGCTGTAGTCTACGGCCTCGCACAAAGACAGGTCAAAGTGGAATGCATCCAGTATGACGACGATGCATCTAGAAAACATGAAGAATCTGCTCAAACCAATTCCACGTGATGCGCGTACTTTGCTGTAAGCGATACTGTTCTTCCAAAGGTTCAATCGCTCACTGCAGTATGACTCATTACATTTGTGTCGAGAGGGAAGTGGTAAGTAAAGTGTTCATTTCCATAGAATTTCTCTTTGATTCTTGACATAAACCTGGACACATACCAAACACTGGACTGTGGTAATAAACTGTTTAAACCTCTTCTCAACATAAAACAACAATGACAACATAGCCTTCCTCATCTAACGCTTGTATGAAATTTCTTACTGGCTTTTGATCTCCATGTATGCATATCAGATGTATTCTTCCCCTTGCGTATTTATGATGCTGCATCTAGACTATAAATTTTCTACAAATGATTAACATTTGTAACCAGCATTAGCTGTATACAAGTGACTCATTAAATAAGTTCATTCGGTTGGTAGATAATAGATCTATCTTGGTTAATTTTTACTCAGCTGTGTTGATTCAAAACGTACTGTTGACGTTTCGCCTCCTATCAGGAGGCTTTCTCAAAGCTCAAAACTGATAGCTTCAGTCAGCTTTGAGAAAGCCTCCTGATAGGAGGCGAAACGTCAGCAGTACGTTTTGAATCAACACGGTTGACTAAAAATTAACCAAGATAGATCTAGTATACAAGTGCTCTATGAAAAAAATTTCCAAAACAATCTGTTCATCATTTATTATTTATTCAACGACTTACTTTATTGATTGTTTTTGGTACTCCGGCTGCTTGGAGAGTTTACTCAGGTATCGCCGTAGCAACACCTCGTAATGTTTCCACGGCAACAGCGCACATGTGGCGCCGAGAGTGTTAATAGCATCGTCGACAATGTTCTGCTGCTGGGCGTATGTCTCGTGGAAGAGAAAAGTCGTTGCCAGTGGCAACAGCAGAGACATTACAGCTTCTGGATGAATGGTAGATGTCTGCAGGTATCGCTGTAACTTCTTCAACGCCTTACCACGCCGATGTATCTGTGGAAAAAAAGTAAAATAAATCTAGGAGAAATATTTTCTCATGTGACATTTGCTGTCAAGTGATGACTTGCTATGGCTTGTCTTTTTTTTCAAAATATAAGCTATAGTGATAGGAGTTATAGTCATAGTTATAGTTACAGTTATAGGATTTTGTTCACTCATTCACTAGATGATTAAATTACTGCATTATACCTAAATCCGAACAGATGTATCAACATTCATTACATACTCTGCCTATGCCAATTCGATGTAAACAAAAACTCACAACTCCATTTTCCATTGTGAGCAACAAGATAGTAAATAGACGAGATTTTTAACCTTCCCCAAAAACACCTTTTCATCAGGTAAGAGTTGAGAACATAATTACTGCCATTATTAATCACGTTTTTATGTACACTTCTTATGCACCCTCACCCCTTGTTTTACAAATGCACTCATTGTGAAACAAGGTTCTACTGTGTGTCACGAGTGAGATGCAGAATAATAAGATGTGAATGTGAATGTTATGTTGATACCGCGTGATAGCTATAAGCTGATACCGCTCGCAACAATCTCCTGCGTCTCACACCTGTATGTGTCTCATGTTCTCAAAGAAGTCCGCTTCCGGGTCGACGTCCATCAGGCCAAGCAGGTACTTCAGCTTCGCATGCTCGGGGAAGGACCTCACCAGCTGGGCCAGCACGGCCACATACTCGTGTTTCGCACTCTGCCGACGATGACGAAAAGTGCATACATTGTAAATTGTACAGAGAGGAAGGAAGGTAGATCAGGAGGGGGAGGCAGAGGAAGAGAGGGAGGGGGAGGAGAGGGTGCAGAGGGAGGGAGAAGGCGAAGTGGCGGGGGAG